GGGGGTAAGATAGTAGTAAGACATGTTCAGCTCGCGCGGGGCTCCAATACTCACCGGGTGGTAGCGAATGTGCGTCGTGGTGCTGGACACGCCCTCTGCCAGCTGCACGGACCCGACGCTGCTGGCGTCGTCCTCCAGCTCGGCGTGCTTGTAGCGTGTCATCTGCGCGCGGGACAAAGAGACCAGCAACTTTAGATATGCAGACGAGCCGCGGCGGCGACGTGGCTGCTCGTCCTGGACCCCACTCACTGGCCGCCACTGGCCCGGGGCCTCTCGCTCCTCCCTCGCAACCCCCTCCCTGCGTTCATTAACCCTACAGCGTGCCCTCCCCCGCCCCTCCCCTTCCCCTGGGAGCGCGGCGGCGTGGCGCCGGCCCAGCGCCAGACGGCTACTCCCTCCTCCCGCCGCTAGATGGCGCGCCCGGCGGAGGCTGTGTGTCTCATCACTAACTTTGGGTCTCATTCGACTGAGAATCCGTCAAACAGACGGTCTTGGACGGCGGTGGGTCCATGGCGTGGCTGTGCTCCACGAGGTGTTGAGAGGCAGAAGTAGCCATGCCACCCTCGGGACGCGCGGGGCGGTCTTGCGGAGCTCTCGCGGCCGACCACGTGCACTTGTGTGAGGCATATATGCCCAATACTATGGAGCGAATCGTGGGGTACGATGGGTGATTGCTATTCCACAAAAAGAGAGAAGGAGAGAGAGAGAGAGAAAAGAGAGAGAAAGTTCTCGCCTTACCCGTTGGGTAAGGTGGGGACGTGCGGGGTTAGTGTGCCGTGTGCGCACTATCCTCCACAACTAAGCGCCCACCCGACCATGACCCCTTTTAATCGCCCGAGGCTTATTTCCGCTAATGGTCGACCCGAATCCGCGAGTTGTTATGAGTTGCTTTGGGATCGTTACAGAAAATCCACCAGTTTTTCCCAAATTCATTCGGCAAATTAGGGGAGCTTGGCGCCTGCAAGGCTCGGGGTAGGCCATCCCGCATTACACACATGCACTGCAGGCAAGATATAGCCTACCTAGTAGGCGCTATGAGAGCTTGGGGTGAATTAGGCAGGAGCGTAACGACGCATGACGGACGTACATTGTGGATGATCCCTTTGTTCAGCGAGCGAGTCCTACAGTCGGCGGGTCGGTCGATAGTGGGCGTAGAGATGAGCGAACAGGCCAGTTCGACTTTATAACAGCTCGAACAAAATCACAATCAGACCCAAAATCTTCGAACCGATCCGAACCTGGACAGCAACATTTTCCCTCAAACGAACAGAACCGAACAGTTCTCTGTTAAAATTCGAACGGACTAGCAAATCTGTCACCATTTGCGCCTCCGCTCCCCCCTCCCCCCTTTTTTCATTCAAAATTCAAGGGTTGATGCGAACTAAAGGAAGAAGCGGTGGGCGTTTTGGCCCACTCTAAATGTCAAGGACAATTTTTGTAACTAGCATTGGACTTCTGCGTGCATAACTGAATGTGTGTTGGTAGTTACAATATTGTATCTGAGCTAGTTATGCACACAGAAGTCCGGAGCTAGTTACAAAAATTGTCCTTGGACATTTAGAGTGCCGATGCTCACTTTCGATGCCAGTCCGGAGCGGGCTACGATGCCCGGGGCTCAATTGTTAATAATTTGTTTACGTTACCAGGGCAAAACGAAAACTTGGAGTAGCGCGACGGTCTAGACGCTCCACCCCAGACAGCACTTAAGACATTAATTAATTCCCAAGCACGACAAGCAAAACACGAAAAACAAAGTTCATCTCACCATGGACCGCTCACCGCGTGGTAGCGCTTATATTCTGCATCAGAGCAATCAAGATGGTCCCCAGCCTCCTAACCCTGACTGCAATTGTTCGCATATGAACATCTGATCGAGCAGAACATTTCGAATACGAACACCTGGTGTTCCAGTTATTCGAGCGATCACGAACAGTTTGCTGTTCGTTCGAGTTCGAATTAGTCTGATTCGATTCGGAAAATTCGACAATAGGGCTAGTTGGTTCGCCTTCAAACAAATCAATGGGTCCATCGTTTGTTCATTAACACGTTTTGTCTCACAAATATATGCGCAAACGCCCAAATCAGTACTTTTAAGAGGAAGAAAACTATCCTGAATATTTGGACCCGAATTTGGACCGATTCCATTCGGATGCAATTTTTGGGATTCGCTAAGAATAAGGAAACAACCTCGATTCGTACCGCTGTACCGCTCCAGTGAAAATCCCATGGAAAATAGTAATATATTGCGGATGTAATAAGAGGACACG